CAGGCAGGGGCGGCGCGCAGGCAGTTAAGAGTGGCGCATGGCCAGCAGGGTGGTGCGCGAGGCTGTAAGGGGCAGCGCGCGGGCTGCAAGCGCGGCGCGCGGGCTGCAGATGTGGCGCGCTGCCAGCAAAGCGGCGTGCGGGCTGCAGACGGGCGGCGCGCGGGGTGCAGACGGGCGGCTCGCGGGCTGCAGGCGGGCGACGCGCGGGTGGCGTACGGGCGCAGCGCGGGCTGCAGACAGGTGGCGCGCGGGCTGCTGACAGGCGACGCGCGAGTGGCGTACGCTGGGCGATACGACGCGGGGCAGGGCAGGGCGTGCGCGGGGCAGCGCGACGCAGAGCAGGGCAGGGCGTGCGCGGGGCAGCGCTACGCGGTGCAGGGCAGGGCAGGGCGTGCGCGGGGCGGCACGATGCGGGGCAGGGCAAGGCGTGCGCGGGGCGGCGCGATGCGGGGCAGGGCAGGGCGTGGGGTAGCGCGGTAACCGCAGTCGGTCACTAGCTAATGGTGGGCCTGAAAAAAAACGGTCCTACGGACCTACTGCTCTAAAACCATGTCAGAATCTAACCAGCAGGAATGATTGTATTGAGTAAGAAAGTGATACAAGTACTAACCCTGATTGGGTTGTACCCCATATAGGCTACCCCACTGCAGCCTACACAACACAGAAAATAACAATTTGACAGACGGTTGTGCCAAATGTGCGATGCCGACCTTGTGCGCACGTGATGTTGCCGTGTAAGTCAGCTTCGCCAAAATTTGATGGACAACATTTGCGCATCCCCGCAAAACTTCATCAACCAAGTCGCCAACACTTTCAGGTCGGCGTCCGCAAGTCGGTGTCACATCGTCGAACAACTTCGTCGGTGGCCAAATCCACTTCGTTGTCCTACGCCGTGGCCGGCTTCGTTGAAGTCGACTCCGTTGTGGTCGACTTCCCCGAAGTCGACTAACCAACAAGCTGACTATCCAAGTGGCTTGCTCTTCCAAGTCGGCTAACCAAATCGACTTGGCAGACCACTCAACTCCGCCGTTCCTAAAAGTCGGCTCCGCCGTTCGTAGAAGTTGGCTTTGCAATGTTCGGCTTCACCGAAGTCCGCTAACCATCAAAGTCGGCTCCGCCGAAGTCAGCTCTACTGAGGTTGGCCAACCAAGCCGACTTGCCCCTCTAAGTCAATGCCGACCACGACGCATAGCCGACTGCACACCGTAGACATCGGTCAGCGACGTCGGCTTTACCCAAGCGAGGGCGGAGACAAATCTCCGATGAACAATAAGAATTGGACACGATTTGGGTACGGATCAAACCCAAAGACCTGGAGGGTTTCGTGTTTATGGTTGATAATTTCCAAAACGCGTCCAGCTTCCCTATGGGTTTTATAGGTAATGGTGGTGGCTGATCACGTAAAACCACTTAATAGATGCACAAGAACACCCTTTTGACTGACCGTTCGCGAGTTTGTTTCGAGTGTTGTCCAGCCCCTATTTTAGACGAAGTGTTGTTCAACCAGTTCATCAGGGCCTGTGCTAGGATTTGGGGCACCCTGAGCCCTCAGGGCAACTTTTGAAAACTTTCCGAAATGCCCTGATTTGTCAGGGCAAAATTCCCTGGCCATCCTGAAATTTCAGGGCACCAGCAGAAATTCATCTGGATGTTTCAGGGCAAAAAAATACAAGACACTAGAGTGGAAGGGAAGGAACGAAAGGAGCAGGTTGTTCAATGGTTTCACTTCTACTGGCTGAGCATAAACTTTGGAGGGGAAGGGGTGGGGACAAAACTAGCACACACACCCCCCAGCCTCCTTCCTCCCCTCTCCCCCTCTCCCCCCTCCACCCCTTCTCCCCTTCCCACGAGTCAGGGCATCCCTCTACATTCACCCTAACGCTTCAGGGCAAAATTTCACTGCCATTCTGAAATTTCAGGGCAAAACACATGAATTATCCTGACGTCACAGGGTAAATTTCAGCGTCATTCTGAAATTCCAGGGCAAACTTAAAACACCATCCTGAAATCAGGGTAATCAGGATGTTTTGCCCTGATATCGTAGGAAGTGACTTCATATTGTTGTCCAGAAGTTTTTGGGTTGCGTAGCAACCCTATATAGTTGGTTTCACTTTTTGGGGATATCATTTCAAGAGTGTTTTCTTAAGCACTCTTTGATGCACCCGCTTGAACTTTTTTGCACCTTGTTCAAGAGAATGCCTCAAATAGTGGATGAAAATCACTCATGAATGAGATATCCTGAAAGTGAAACCAATTACGTATCATGTTGAAACCATGATTTTGTTCCGACCGTCCCAGCATCGCCGATTAATACGGCGGATGGTACGATCGAACATGGCACCAACATGAGCGAATGCATTTGTACAAATGATCACGGTATGAAGTGTGGTGCGGAGGCTTCAAGAGATGTTAAACTGTATCAATGTAGCAACAGAGATTGATGGGGCCGTTGAAACAGCGAATACACGCTGCCCCAATGACGATGACAACCTCTAGTTGCATACACGATGCAATGTAACACCTTGCCTTGAAACACACACACCTCACAAACACGAAATGCACAACATCACAAAAGTTGTGAAGACATCAAAATGGATGCTTAATATGCACCAATGCTGCAGCTGAGGTTGATGGGGTCGTTGACACAGTGAAACACACTGCCCCAACGACGATGACAACCTCAACTGCTAACAAGATGCATACCAGCACCAGACCTTGAAATAATCACAACCAACCAACTGACACACACACAAGCACACATACCCACGCACGGACGATACACACACACACACACATGCACTGACACACATATATATACACACGCATACATACAATGAGAGAGAAAACAAGCATGACAAAGAGTCAGACACTAACACACACGCACACACTGACACACACACATGCAAACAAGCACAGATACATACAGCCACCGGTGATAAACACCAACCATCACCAATGGAGTTCAGTTACCATTCATAAATCATGGCTAGCCTATCCCCTCTTTACCCTCCCTACACCCCTCCTTCCCTCCTTCCCTCATCTCCCTCCCACCCCCTCCCCCATCTCCCTTCTCCGCCAAACAAAATTAAAAAATGCAGCTCACACGCCCTGCACAAAGAAAAAACAGAGAATGCAAAGTACATGCCCTGCACAAGAAAAGGGCAAAAACAGAGAATGTTCACACACTGTGTACAAAGAAGCACTAAAACATATAGTGTAACTTACGAAGAGGCCAAGCAGGAAATGCAACTCACCCGTAGAAAGCAAAAACAAAGAGTACACTTCACTGCATTGCACACGAAAACAAAAACAGAGAACGCAGCTCACGCATGCACTAGAAACGAAATAAGAACAATAGAAAATGGTGTTGAAGAACGCATAGATCAATAAAAGACAGCAATTAGACTTTCACAACTCACGGTGCTAATTTGGAACAAGTCGTGGCACCACAGATACTACACCGGAATGATGCAATACCTTGCAGCTACCCTCGCGTTCAGCTTCTCAATCACATTTGCACTCAATCACACACGCACAAATACTCTCAACTTTATTAGACACTCACAGAAACAAACATTTAAATCTACACGCTCATTCTTGCACAAACCTCGCACTTATGATCGTTCTCATTCACAATAACACTCACACAAAAACTTACACGTGCATGCAAACACACTCGCACGCACCCTTGCAATAACACTCGCACTTGCTCTCGCACTCACTCTGGCACACACAGTGGCACACACTCTCATCCTCGCGCGCACACCCTCTCATCCTGGCGCTTTCTCATGCGCTCTCTCACGCACTCTCTCACGCGCACTCTTACACGCACTCTTTCGCGCTCTCTCATGCGCACTCTCACGTGCACCCTCACGTGCTCTCCCACGTTCTCTCTCACGCGCACTCTCAGGCGCATTCTCACACGCTCACTCACACGCTCTCTCACGCTCTCTCACACGCACCCTCACGTGCTCTCTAACGCGCACTCTCACAAGTCTCCCATGCGTCTCCCACATGCACTCTCATGCGCACTCTTGTGCGCTCTCTCACGCACTTGCCCACGCGCCCTCTCACGCGCTTGCGCACGTGCTCTCTCACGCGCTCTCCCACGCACTCTCTCACGTGCACTCTCACGCGCACTCTCAAGCGCACTCTTTTGTGCTCTCTCACGCGCACTCTCGCGTGCACTCTCACTCACGCTCTCTCTCACGTTCTCTCTCACACGCACTCTCACGTGCTCTCTCACGCGCACTCTCACGCGCATTCTCACACGCTCTCTCTCACGCTCTCTCACACGCACTCTCACACGCACCCTCACGTGCTCTCTAACACGCACTCTCACGAGTCTCCCATGCGTCTCCCACATGCACTCTCACGCGCACTCTCGTGCGCTCTCTCACGCACACTCTTGTGCGCTCTCTCACGCACTTGCGCACGCGCTCTCTCACACGCTTGCGCACGCGCTCTCTCACGCACTCTCTCACGAGCACTCTCACGCGCTCTCTCACGTTCTCTCACACGCACTCTCACGCGCTCTCTCACGCGCACTCTCACGCGCATTCTCACATGCTCTCTCACACGCTCTCTCACATGCTCTCTCACGCTCTCACACGCACCCTCACACGCTCTCTCACGCGCCCTCTCACGCACACTCTCACACGCACTCTCACACGCACTCTCACACTCACTCTCACGCGCTCCCTCTCGCGCACTCTCACGCGCAATCTCACACGCTCTCTCACGCGCACTCTCACGTGCACCCTCACGTGCTCTCTAACGCGCACCCTCACAAGTCTCTCACGCGTCTCCCACGTGCACTCTCACGCGCCCTCTCACGCACTCTCACGCGCACTCTCACGCGCACACTCACGCGCACTCTCACGCACACACTCACGCGCTCTCTCACGCGCTCTCGCACACGCTCTCTCCTGCGCTCTCTCACACCCGCTCTCACACGCACTCTCGTGTGCTCTCTCACGCGCTCTCTCACGCGCAAACTCATGCGCACACTCACGTGCCCCTTCACGCGCTCTCTCACGCGCACTCTCACGCGCACCCTCACGCGCTCTCTCACGTTCTCTCTAACGAGCTCTCTCACGCGCACCCTCATACGCACTCTCACACGCTCCCTCACACGCATTCTCACACGCTCTCTCACACGATCTTTCACGCTCCCTAACGCGCACTCTCACGCGCACTCTCATGCGCTCTCTCACGCGCTCTCTCACGCGCTCTCTCATGCACTTGCGCACGCGCTCCCTCACGCGCTCTCTCACGCGCCCCCTCACGCGCTCTCTCATGCGCACTCTCACGTGCTCTCTCACGCACACTCTCACGTGCTCCCTCACGCGCTCTCTCACGCGCTATCTCACGCGCTCTCTCATGCGCACTCTCACGCGCACACTCATGTGCACTCTCACGCACACACTCACGCGCACTCTTACGCGCACACTCACGCGCTCTCTCACGCGCACACTCACGCACTCTCACGCGCTCTCTCCCCACTCTCTCACGCGCACTCACGCGCTCTCTCACGCGCAATCTCACTCGCTCTCTCACGCGCACTCTCACGCGCTCTCTCACGCGCACTCTCCTGCGCGTTCGCTCCCTTGCACACGCTCTCCCTCGCTCTTCGTCTCTCCCCTTCTTCAAATGAAACTGCAATGCAAGAGGAGACCAATGACACACAAAATTTACAAAGAAGCAAAAATTAAGTCAGGAAATATCAGAGGCAGAAGGGTGGATGAAAGGACCGGGAACGCACCTGATAACAACGGTGCCTCAGAAAACAACCCGCGCTGGCGCACCAACCCGCGCTCGCGCACCCACCCGCGCTCGCGCACCAACCCGCGTTCATGCACCAGCCCGCGCTCGCACACCAACCCGCACTCGCACACCAAGTCTCGCTTGCGCTCGTGCACCTGTCGCCGGAGGCGACGGCGGGGAGGGAAGGAGAGGCGATGGCGAGGAGGAGGGAGAGGCAACGGCGGGGAGGAGGGAGAGGCGGCGGCGGGGAGGAGGGAGAGGCGGCGGCGGGGAGGAGGGAGAGGCGACGGCGGGGATACCCAGACTTCAGGTCGATGGAGAACATCCAATCGCCCGGGCGAGCGATCTCCGCAACCCGGTTGAGCCCCTCGTATTTGAATTTTGGAATGCGCAAGTGCAGGTTCACTTGGCGGAGGTCGAGGATCAGTCGGCATTTCTCTCTCTGGACCACCACGTTTAGTGGGCTAATGCATACAGCCTGATCCGCGGGGGCGAGAGCCGCTGCGTCGCTTTCCAGGAGCTCGCAGATAGCCTGTTTGGTGAACTGGGCGTGGATCTGTGCGCCCGCATGGTTGTCCCGCTGGAACAGCACCGGGGCGGCAAGTTTCCACGGCATCCAGTAACCGTGTACGATTACTGATAGTATGAAGCTGCTTTCGCACCATGAACTCCACCATGGAAATGCCGCGCGTAGTCGCCCGTGCATCCTTGTTACGAGCTCGTCTGTGATCGCGTATTCGTAGGGAATGTGCTGCTCGCCCATCCCGATCTCCGGTGTATCTGTGCCACGGGTCGCAGAAAGGCACGGACTGTGAGTACGCCTCTTTTTTCTCTTTTTTTTTTTTTTTTTTAGCGGGTGCTTATTGTCCTTGATACGATTGCATGTACCAACAACGGATAGGTCGTTTGCGCACTCCTCACCTTCTCTTCCGGATTGGCCCGTTTGCTTCTCTCTCTCACTCTCTCTCTCCCTCTCTCTGGCTCTCCCTCTCTCTCTTCTTCTTCTCTTTCGCGGTGTTCAACAAGCCCTAGGTGGGCTTCCGTATCGTGTCTCGTTTTTTTTTTTTTTTTTTTAGTAGCGTGCCTTGTATCGCGGGTTATTTTCCCGTCGTGGCAATTGCGCGTAGTAATATGCCTGCCCCTCTCCATCTGTATGCCTCCTTGTGTGCTTGCCTTGCTAGTGGACCTCTCTTGTCCCATTAAATTGGGCGGGTGCTGGCCGAATCATGTAGCCTCCTCAAACAATCCCCATTATTTCGCACTTCGCACTTGCTCGCTTTCTTTCTCGTCTAACTTTCCTCTCTCTTTTTTTTTTTTTTTTTTTTTTTTTTTTGTCGCCGGCAGCAGATACCTCCACTCTTTGAGGCTTACTTGCTTCAAAAATCCAGGTTTCAAACGTTCAAATATTATTCATTGGCCACATAACAACAATCATCCACATTTCATGCCCTTCCGGCCCATATTCCATACGCATAGATCTCATGATTGCCACTCATGGCTAACACCTAGGACTCCTAGTCCTACCCCCTTCACTTGGGGTCGGCCGGCGGCCGTTCTACGCGCTCAACCGATCTGGCCAGCGGCCTAAGCGCGCCGTGTTCCATGGCTGCAACGTTCGCCATGGCTTGCTTGAATGGGCGTGAGGTGAACAAGCTCTCCTCCTCGTACATCTTGAACCGGTTAGCAACGCGGAAGTTAGTGTAATCGGCGACGTGAAGAAGCTTGAAACGATTGTTGACGAGCGTGAGTGCCTCCTCGAGAAGTTCGATGGCACTCGCCGGTTCGTTGAGTCGCACCTTCTGTTCCGCGTGCATCAGGTAAGCGCGCAGGTCCTCGAGGAGCTCGGCTTGCTCACGGACAGCCGCGTTCTTGAATGAGGATGCGGTGAGATTGGGGTTGGAGGTGGGAAGAGGGGGAAGGTGCTCGGTGGTAGAAAAAAATGCATTATCAGCAGGTGCCTCACCAGCTTCGTCGTCTAAAGTGTCGCTGTCGGCGGGATTTTCCGGTCTCGGGGTAGCCTTGACAGTGGCGCCCTCGGTGCGTGCAATTTTTGCCGTGCGAGCGCGTTGCACCGTCTCCCTTTTTTCCTTTGCGCTTTTAGCAGAAATTGAAGTCGCGTTTGGTGTAGCGGTTGCTTCCGTAACGGCGGGGACTTGCTGCTGTAAGAGGGACAACAGCTGCTGCAGTTGGGCCGAGGTGAAGACGGGCGAGGCCACAGGCGCGTCAGGGGCCTGAGGCGCGTCAGGGGCCTGAGGCGCGTCAGGGCCCACGTGCGCCTGAGGCCTCGCATCAGGCGCGTGTGCCTGCCTGCGGCGCTGACGCTGACGGGGGGTGCCGGTCGCGCTGGCCGGCGTTGAATTGGCACCTTCGGCGGTGGCCGGCGCCTCAGGCCCCTCAGGGGCCACGTGCGCTCGAGGCCCCCCAAGGGCGCGTGTCCCAGCGAGGTCGGCCTCGCGCAGCAGGACTTCGACGGCGGTCGGGGTCGACTCCTCGTCGTCTGCCCGGCGCTTGTTACGACGTTCGCCCGCGGGATCGCGGGTAAAATTTCCGTCGTCGGGACGAATTGGGGCGTTGGCGTTGTCACCGTTGTCGCCGTTAAGTGCCATTGTAGCCGCGTTGTGAGCGCAAAAACCATTCCCGTACGTGGCTGCCTTGGCAGATTCAGAGTAGTGACAAAATAGGCAGGGCCATGAACTTTCCCGCCGAAGTTGGTTGAGGTAACCTCGGGGTACTCTCCCAAACCGTAAACCGATTCGATTGGTCGAATGTTCTGTTACCACGTTGGGCGCTAAGGTTGGCGGTTGTCGCTGACGTCGCCACCGTCTGGGGTAAGCTGTAGGTAACTTTAGAGTGAACTTGTGGGTCTCCTTGTGAGGGTGACTCTGGGGTCACCATCATTCTCAAAGTGATTTCGGCTGAGCGAATTTTGGGATGCAGAAGGAGAAAGCTCAGCTGTCAATTGCATGCTTCCTGAGATACCATCTCCTTGTGCCAGAATCTGAGAACCAACGTCTGGCTTCATGCTTCACATGTGAGATCGGTCGCCATTGCATGCCTAGGCATGGCTGGAAAGCATGTTTTTCCCTCATGACCTGCCTCTCCTGCTCCCTCCCACCCCCCAGGTGTGGGCTGGACAGCAGGGTGCAGGGGAACACATGTATCACGCTGATTCTTGCCTAGTCACCTTCTGCCCCTGTCACCTTCTCCCTGTCACCTTCTCCCTGTCACCTTCTCCCTTTCACCTTCTCCCTGTCACCTTCTCCCTGTCACCTTCTCCCTGTCCCCTTCTCCCTGTCCCCTTCTCCCTGTCACCTTCTCCCTGTCACCTTCTCCCTGTCACCTTCTACCTGTCACCTTCTCCCTGTCCCCTTCTCCCTGTCCCCTTCTCCCTGTCACCTTCTCCCTGTCACCTTCTCCCTGTCACCTTTTGCCCCTGTCCCCTTCTCCCTGTCACCTTCTTCCTGTCACCTTCTGCCCCTGTCACCTTCTCCCTGTCACTGTCTCTCCTTTTCCCCACCTCTCCCCACTCCCCTCTCAGGTTCGGGCTGGACAGCAGGGCGTTGGGCCACACTAAGTTGGCACGATCCTGCACACACTGCAAACTCTTTGCTCAGATTGGGGCACCTGCTGCGTTTCCAGTGCACTCGCGGCATGACTTCCTCGCCCAACCGTCACATTGAGCATTACACGACCTAAACGAAAGCTTCAGATTTTGCGGGTCCTAAGCTTGGTGTCTGCTGTACGCGTCTTTAGACTCGACGAGAGCTGAGTTTTGAAACGCGCACATGTTTCACACTAGCTATGTTTTGCAAGTGCTTATGTAAGCAAAATAAAAGGTTCATGTAACAAGCCTGTAGAAAGAATGGAAGTTCACTAGAAAACACATAACATCAAAGGTGCTCTAAAAGTCTATATGTCTTAACAATCTAGTATTGTGTCGTACTCCTGACACACATACACACACACACACACACACATACACACACACACACACACACACACACACACACACACATCAGTTGCCCCATCAGTAAGAAATTTGCACATCAGCATTTGATAGTATGATCTCTTTTCGTTTTATTTCGCCTAACTCGTTGCAGCACACACTCACATTGGACTGACGTTTTTCCCATATGGAGGTGCATCATCACCCTCTACAATTATGAGGCAGCTTAGAGATTATTCACACCCATATAGTGAGTGTCATAAAGGCGAAAAACCCATTTATTCACAGCTCAGACCACGTCTCATAAAGGTGAATCATCCTGTTATCCTGAGGCCTGCTCTCCAATCTTCATAATTTCCATGTCGAGGCTTGCGACACCGGCGACAACATCCTTCATCTCCTGCACCTGCGCATCCACCTTGACTGCAGCACACAGCACCTCTTTCCCCCCCACTGCCTCGCGAATGGCCTGCAGCTCGTTGGCAACCTGCAGCATGCTTGGGCGGTCTGCAGTGCGCTCTCCAGTGCAGGCGAGGGAGATCTGAGCCACTCGCAGCACAGCTTCAGCAGGGGCGTCCATGGTGGGGTCCATGAGGCTCCCCACGTCATTCTTGGACAGGCACTCCGCCACCTGAGGGGGTTGAGAAGATTGAGGGTGGGAGAAGGTGGAGAGTTTGGGGAGGGTGGAGGGTTTGCAGGGTGTGGAGGGAGTGTTGAAAGGTGGAGCAGGTGGAGGGATTGGGAGGGGACATATATGGTATTCAAGAAGCTGGAAATATTTCCTTTGGAGAATATGCTATTTGAGTCTTTGGAAGTACCGGCAAGTGGTGCTCACCCACAGAGTGATCTGACGCCCCTGTGAGGACCACTAGTGTAAAATGGACGAGGAAAGAAAGGAAGTACCACAACCACACATGTGGTAGTGGCGGAAGGTGGTTTCATGGGTTGAGGTAATTGCATACGCGGTGGTCCCATGGGATAAGCACTTACCCACGGAGTGATCTTCCAGCTCTCTCCAGCAGTTTCCGAGATTGGCTCTCGTCCCGTGAGGACCACCAACATGAGCACTCCAAAGCTGAAAAAAAAGCGGACATGTTCAAAGGCACAGAATGATCAGGGCACAAGATGGCAGAGGAAGAGAAGAGGGGAGAGGCACATGCTTTTCAGATAAGTTTTATTTCCTGACCGCAACATGTACAGGTCCATATATCACACACACATAAGATTTGGGGCGGGTCTTATTGGGTGCTGACTCCTACTACAATGCATTTCTAGTTTCTCCTTTACTGAATACTATGCACTTCCAGCAAGGACTTTTGTACGCATCACTACTTCACATGTACACCTCACTGGCCCACCTGCACACATCGCTGGCAGCGGTGCCTTGGAGTAGACTGGATCCCCATAGGGCCTTTGCAATGATCACCTCTACACCTCACTGGCCCACCTGCACACATCGCTGGCAGCGGTGCCTTGGAGTAGACTGGATCCCCATAGGGCCTTTGCAATGATCACCTCTACACCTCACTGGCCCACCTGCACACATCGCTGGCAGCGGTGCCTTGGAGTAGACTGGATCCCCATAGGGCCTTTGCAATGATCACCTCTACACCTCACTGGCCCACCTGTACACATCACTGCCTCACCTGTACACATCGCTGGCTGCAGTGGCCTTGGACGTGATGGAGTAGACCGGATCCACATAGCCCGGTGTGCCCATGATGCGCGTTGTGCCCACGGTTGTGCCCTCCCCCATCCTCAGCAGACCAAAGTCGGCAATCTTCACCTGGTGACGGCATTGTAGCATGAGGAATTAATCAGTCAGTGAGAACTCTGGTCGCTTGTGATGCCATCCACAAAAGAGCATGAAATGTAAGTAAAAGGGTTTGTGAGTGGGCTGAGTAAATGGTTGCTGTGAGAAACGATATATGAAGTTGAAAGACATTCCAGCCATAGTTGGTGTAGTGTTGTGCCAATGACCCCTCGTTCAAACTTATATATATATATATATGTATATGTATATGTATATATATATCATCTTCACTAGACAGGATCCACTACGACGACCAAGCTTGCCTGCATGCTGTTGGTGATGAGGACGTTGGCAGGCTTGATGTCGCGATGCACGATGCCAAAGCCGTGGAGGTATTCGAAGCCCCGTGCCAAGCCGATGAGAATGTCCAGCCGCTGCTTCAGAGTCAGAGGGCAGGATGCCTCTGCAAGAAACACGTGGCAGGGGATGAGTGGAAAAGGATGAATGGTAAAGGACGAATGGCACAGCATATGATTGGCACAACATATAATGGCACAGCATATGATTGGCACAGCATATGATTGGCACAGCATGAGTGGCAGAGGATGAATTGCAGAGGATGAATGACAGGGGACGAGTGGCAGCAGACAAGTGGCAGAGGATGTGTAGAGGATGAGTGATAGAGGAAGGGTGGTAGAGGATGGGTGGTAAAGCGTGAGTGGCAGAGCATGAATGACAAAGCACAGGTTGCCTCTGCAAGGATGTGCAGCATAAGTGGCACATCATATAATTGCACGGCATATTTATGACACAACATCTGCGCGGCACAGCACGCCATCTGCGTGGCACAGCAAAAAACACGCTGGAGGAGTATCACGCATACTTGGACCAATCCATCTGTGAAGGTCGCCATTGGGCACATATTCATAGATCAGAACTTGCTCTGGCCGAGTCCTCAAGTCTCCTCCGATCGCAAATCCAAGGAGCTTCACAATGTTGGGATGGTTCTTGTCGGCCATCTGCTGGATCTGATCCACACAGCCAGAGGAAAAGAAACAAATATGATCAGGGATGACAGAACAAATGGAGAAGCAGCCAAGGGAATGTCCTAAATTTACCAGCATTGAAGACACGATCTATAATTAGTTGAACAGCAAAAGACATCATGGCAATGTAACATTTCAATAGAGCATATAAATCTTAGACGTGGGATTGAAAATGATGTCACTGACACATGCCATCTTATCACGGCTCACCATGGTTCACCATGGCTCACTGACAAAACATACCAGTGCAATAAAATTTGCAACCTTCACATGTGCAGCTCACTCACTGACCTCTTTCTGAAAGTCCACGTCGATCAGCTTGGCGCGCTTGACAGCCCACATGGTAATGTCATCGCGGGGAGACACACCCTTGTACACATCGCCAAAGGCACCCGAGCCCAGCTGGTTGTCCTCGGACCAGTCGTTGGTGGCCTTGAGGACTTCTGCTAGTGAGAATTCGGTGCAGTGCGAGGATGCCAGGCTGCTCCCCGAGCCTGCTCGTGGGGTCATATGTGAAAGGAGGTGCATGGGTGCAGGGGAAAATGCCTGGGCACGAGTTGAGTGGAGTCGAGTCAGGTCGAGTTCGGCCGGCCTCAGTCGAGTCCCATGACTTGGCCCAACATTCTAGGGAATTGATTTGCGGCGTGCCAATCAGTTCACGGGATATTCTACACAGAGCCTCTACGAATCTTTGCAGCTCCAAAACCTGGAAACTGAGATTTAGACCATCTACTGCCTCAACACCTTGTGCCACTTAAGTTCCAGAGTTGTGTGGCCATGCATACAGGCCTGTACGCTGGGGATTGAAGTGAATGCATGCACCAAGCCACGCTGTTAGTGGGGAGTCGATCTCACTCATTTCATGGCAAGAGATTTGAGAGCTCGGTTTCGGCTGCTGGATTTTGTCGAGTCGAGCATGATTAGTCTTGCAGACTTGCATGCAGATGTCTAAGTTCATGCAATGGAGAACTAGCTCCTCACTTATCGCCATGGTTGAAACAAGACAGGGTTTGGTTATTCAGAATGAACTCTTCTGGTTGCTTTGTCTCCCTACCTTGTGGTTTCAGCTTGATTTTGTGTGTGAAGTAAAGCAGAGCTGCACCAAGAAGTAGGAGAATGACCATAGCGGCAACAATAATGCCAATGATGGCGCCCAATGATACTGTACCCGCACCTCCTGCTGAGGAAGAGTTGCAGTGGGGACTGCATGAAGGTTATAACTAGAAGAGTTGTCAAGAGGGCGTTATAACGTGTGAGCAATAAACGTTCAGCCAAGCAGGCAAGTGCGTAAAAAACGATCAGAAGGGTGATGCTCCGCGGTAAGAGAGCCTAGATTGATCGTAATTTTGCATGATCTCAATGCGAGAAAACTCTACACCCCTCTTATTGTCCAAAGTAGGTGAGGTGCTTTTTAATAATTCGGGCAAGCATTGTGTCATGCCTTGTCCCATGCCTTGTGTCCATGCATTCTGCCATGCCTTGTGCCATGCATTGCGCCATGCGTTGTGCCATGGCTTGTGCCATGCATTGTGCAACGCCTTGTCCCTTGACTTGTGCCCATGCATTGTGCCATGCGCTGTGTGTGTGTCATGTCTTGTGCCATGCATTGTCCCATGCTCTGTGCCATGCCTTGTGCTCATGCCTTGTGCTCATGCCTTGTGCTCATGCCTTGTGTTCATGCCTTGTGCTCATGCCTTGTGCCATGCCTTGTGCCATGCCTTGTGCCATGCCTTGTGCCATGCATTGACATGCCTTGTCCGTGCATTGCCTTGTCTTTTGCCATGCCTTGCCACGCGTTGCTTGCTGTACTCTGAAATGCCTTCCTCCATGCATCGAGTTTCGACTCTTGAGACCGTACTTTGCTGATGTTTATTTACTTGCTTGCAGATTGGTAGCAAGTCTTGCAGAAGGATTGACATGTGCCACAAAAGGCTG